GCGGCAAAAGGGCAGTGATCTGTCTGTCAGTATGAAGTTGGTGTGAGCTTTGGTGAACAAAATCTCGAGACCGGTAGCAGGAAGATGGGAGACTCGTGTTTCACTGGAATAGTGGTGAATTAAAACATCCTTTGTTGGGGAAATTTAGGTGTAAATGCATCCATACAGGCAAGACAGAGGCAGACCAGACAGTGAAGAAAACAAGGCAAACATTAGAAATATTAAAACGGAAATACAGGATTAATATAACATACAATTAGGGAAAATGTAAGGAACACAATGTAAATGATATAGTAAAGTCATTAAAACAGTATACTCTGATTAAACAGGGTGCCTTCTCTGTGCGGTTAATGGACGGTGAAATGAAAAAAAAAGTCATATAGGCTTTTAAATGTCAACAAAATAAACCTTAAAAACCTCTGGAATTAAATAAGGGTACAGAAATAAGGCCTCATCTGTATGAGAAAAATTACCAGTACCAAGACTGTACGAGGGAAATTTCTTTTGCAGTTCGTCTGAAAAGCTGCAGTTGCGCTTTGGTATCTTTCAAACATCATCAGAGGGAAAAGAGGACCGTTCCCCACCCTACTATAGGGAGACCAGTGCAGATGTAGACGTACAGATCGTAATGGATTCTGCAAAAAAGAAGAAAGTGTGCTTGTAACTTCCTGTTTTATTTTCACAGTCTCAAGTCCTAAAATCATTTCATTACATGTGCACTTTAACATGACTTATAAGTAATTTAATCACATACAGTACTATTTTGTCCTCATTAGATGTAGACTTGACTTAGATTATCCAGTTAGACAAACAGTAAAGAGAATGAGAAGATGAGAATGCTATTAAACTTAGATTCTTCTTTACTTTGGTCTGCATCTCCAGTTTACAATTACACGTTACTTTGAATTTTGTATACATCGTATCTGTTATCCATTTTCCTCTTGCTCTCTCTTTTTCTCCTTTTTGTAAAACTAAATAAACACAAACAACACAGATCATTTTCTTCTCATCCACTGAACATAAATAATGTCTTAATTTAGACAAACAGCAACAATATAAATCTAAAATTAGACTAAATCAATCATAACATTCAGTTAACTAGTATTATTCATTTTCATAACAAGTGAGCAAACACATGCTAAAATTTATTCACTAGCAGTGGATATACAAATGTTTCATAGACACACAGCTGAACTAGTAACTCAGTATTCTTACAGTATACATGTACCACAAATCAAACAGTATGGTTATAATACACCAGGAAAACTTACAGGTATACGTGGGCCAAGGTTTCACTTCTAAGTGCACACTTGTACTTGAACTTCTTTGCATAATAGGGCTGGGTATTGTCACTGATTTCTAGAATCAAATTGATTCTGATTCACAAGGTCCAGATTTGATTCGATTGGATTCAATTTGAATCGGGGAAATTTTGCCTCAGACGGTCAGACATATTATAATTCAGATCATGCATCAGTACATTTCCATATTTATATCTATAAAAAGAAAGCTGACACTTGCGAGACTTTATCAAAGGTGAAAGCATCACAGCAGATGCCTTTGTGTCAAAGTAACTGAGGATAAAACAGAAAAACGTGAAGGCGATTTTCCTGGCCTGGGATTTTATAAAACTGCAGTAGATCAAAAATGAAAGAAAACCGTTAATCAACACATGAACATTACTTGATGCTGCTGAAGTGAAGCAGAGCAAAGTTACAGAGGTTTTATTAGAGACACAGCTGAGCGTTTTGCAATTTTGCATAATTTTAAAAAGTTTAAACTTGTTCAGTAGCCTATTGAACTACAGAAATGACATGGTAAGTAAAAAGAAAAAAAACAGCGGCTGACAGCGCTGTAAATAACAGTAGACTTGTGTGTAACAAGCAAGCGAATAAGGCAGAAAACCGATTTTTAGACGGGAAACTGTTCTTGAAGTACAGAGAGAGCAAGAGAGAGAGAGAGAGTCGATTATTATTATTATTATTAGAATCGATTTTAATCCCTAAATCGATAATCAAAACCCACCACTATTGCATAACAAGCTTCCCAAGTACCAACTGTGACCACAAGAGGGCACCAAACCTTACAAAACAAAATAATATTAACATTCAATTCAAACTATACTGACACGAAGTTGGGCAGCACGGTGGCACGGTGGTTAGCACTGTTGCCGCACAGCAAGAAGGTCCTGAGTTCAATTCCACCATCAGGCCGGGGTCTTTCTGTGTGGAGTTTGCATGTTCTCCCCGTGTTTGCGTGGGTTCCCTCCGGGTACTCCGGCTTCCTCCCACTGTCCAAAGACATGCAGCTTGTGGGGATAGGTTAATTGGATAATCCAAATTGCCACTAGGTGTGAATGTGCGAGTGAATGACAGTGCGAATGGTTGTCTGTCCCTGTGTGTTGGCCCTGCGACAGACTGGCGACCTGTCCAGGGTGTACCCCGCCTCTCGCCCTATGACAGCTGGGATAGGCTCCAGCGCCCCCCGCGACCCTGAAAAGGATAAGCGGAAGCAAATGGATGGATGGATGGATAGATTGATAATTAGCTTAATCTCACACAACATCACTTTTTAATTTATTTAAATAGCAATACTTTTCTCACTTTTTCTCTTCATAACTCTGTTTGCTAATCACAACACAGTCAATATAATTTCTTTTTATTAAATCATACATGTTAAATTTAAACATTGTGTGAATATTTGCTTAGTCATTTTCACGAAGCACTAAAGTTCTCAGACAAGATCTGGGCTCTGTGCCATGGTTGAATTCCCCGCCTGTACAAACAATGACAGCAGACACACACACGCACACACACAAAATCATTAGATTTGTCAGAAGATCAGGTATTAGAACCATTTCATTACATTAACTGTATTTCTGTCATCAATCATTACACTCAAACTTTGATTTAATTTTGATTAAGAATACAAAATGATTTATTAGTAGCAAAAGCAGATATAGACTCTGTCATTTTAAACATAAAAGTCTGGATTTCAAACCCTTTAAGCCTGTAATGAGAATTAACCTGGAGAGAATTCAATCCTTTCCAATCCCACGTCTCTAAATAAGAGGTCGACCTTGTTGTCAACATTTATGCTCATACACAGTGCTTATATTGCTGAATGTGTCAAAGTAATTTGTAAGTGCATTTCTAAGGATTTGGATATTGGAGCGTACTAATGTTGCCTGCATTGTACAGCTGAGATGTAATTATTTTCTGAAGTTATCTAACAACAGTTCCTACAGTCACAGGTTTGCATACTGTTGCCAGTTAAAACTGAGCTCATGATCATGTGGACAGATCATGAAGTGTTCTCAGTCTCATCTTCTTTGTAGTGAATCATGAAGTGGACCTAAAGTGACTTACAGTTAGTGGTGGTCAGTTTGAAGCTGAAGCTCTGGTGACAAAAAAAGGCAAAACAAAAGATTTGTAGTGTACTTTAAGCAATGCATTATACATATAAATAACAATGTGATATTATAGAGAAACTCACCTCCCCATTGGTTAATTGGAACAGCACAAGAATATTTCCAAGCTTGAACTGTGCTGTACATTATTAAACATAAAGTGTGTGTGTGTTTTTTGTTTAATTCTATATTATTTTTTATCTATTCTGCAAACATCAAGAAGTTACAATCAAAGAGACCAAACCATCGCCTCTTTGCTTCCTACCCTCAAGTACATGGAAGGAGATAACACGAGAGACTGCCTTGGTCAGTGTCTGAGGTTTGGACTTTATTAACAGTGGCAAACACAAAACATAAAACCGGCAGCAACAAAGCTGGAGCAATGTGTAGGCAAACAGCCAGTGCACTTGTCACTACTACTAACACTCAGGCTGTGTACAACAAACAGAGTCTCTAGAGGCGTCCGACAGGGGGAGCAACTGGCAGGCTCAGGTGAAGGCGTCCCCCTTCACCTGGCACATCGCCCTCCTTTTAACAGCTGCACCGACCCTTATCCGTCACACCATTGGCTCTCTTCTTAGCCCTGAACTCCGAGGTAGCCAGTCCTCTGCGAGCCCAGGACCACAGGAGCTTCCTTACTAGAGCCCACCTACTCGTTCTCCGTCTTGGCCGTAAGAACAGCAAAGACACACACTCTCTATCACACACAGAAACACAGCACAAGAAGATGCATTGCTGACTTTTCGTGATCCAGGTGGTGTATGTTTACTTTTCTTGCAGGTGTGACAGTTAGTGATATATTGTGCATATATTGTATCCTTTTATTACATCTTCCCCTATGCCCCCCTATCCCCTTTTCTGTCTCTCCTGCCTTAGTCATTGTCATACTGTATACCGCATACCAGATAACTGAAATAAAATAAACTGAAATGAAGAAATAAACAGGTAAACAAAATCTGAACAAGAGGAGCCTATGGATAGTTTATAGAGCTGATCGTTGAAAAGCAAAATGTGTTTGGTACAACAGTGTATTCAGATCACAATTCTGATTGCAAAAGCTACCAGAATGGGCAGGATTTAAAAATGAAAATAAAAATCTCTGAACTCAGTGAACATGTCCTAGCATGACTGGAATGCAGTTCAACAGCTTTTGGTTCAGTAAAAAACATGTGGGTCATATGTTCTGTTTCATAAGGTCTCTCTTCCATTATCCACTTTATAGCCAACACTCATATTAGAAAGAATATAATATATACATTCATACATATAAGAAAGAATGTACTGTATCTCTGCACACACAAAAAACCCATCAAGTGTGATCTCCAGTTTCATGTGCACTGAAAAAAATATGTTGTTGGATTTACTTAATTCAATAGTGGACATTTGTTGCACACAGATGTTTTGCTTTGGCAGCAACTTAAACAATTGAGTTAAATTAACACAATTTATTCATGTTCAATAAACCTGTGCAATTTGTGTTGATAAAATGTGACTTAAACATGTTTTGATGAAGTAATTTGAGCTCTTGGAATATTTTAATCCTTCACAATTTTCTCACTTTATCCCAACACGATTCAGTAACTTTTACCCAATACTACTTGGTCACTTAAATACTATATGTTATCTTCAAATTACATTTTGCTATTATATTCTAGTATCAAATACACAATTTTCAAATGGAGGCCTTATAACAGATTGTATTGTTGTCTTCCAAGATGGTTGCTGGCATCCACCAGTAACCTTTCAAAACAAAATGTCTAATTTCACTGCATTGACAGTAGGTAAAGAATTAAACTGACATTACTCCTCTACTGAATCTATATAAATCAACAGTTAAATAATGTCAGTTCTTCCGTTCTTCAATTATAACTAAACAATTTGAGGTAATGTTAGTTTCCTTTAACATTAAATTAGGTTACTGAATTGGCAAACACCTTCCTATTAACACTACCCATTTTACCCCAATAACTAAAGAAATTAGCACTTGCAGGTCAAAACCTTTATTCAAGAGACGCAAAAATAACATTGATACAGTGACTGTCAAAAATTACAGCACTGATCATACTGTGACATCTTGGTTCAAAACAGCACACTTAGAAATATTCAACGTTCTTTACTTCAACTGAAAATACCATTTCACACAACCTATATGGGATATTTAGACTGTATAACTGTTCACGCTACATCTCTTCACTAGTAAAAGAAAGAAAAATTACAAAGAGAAATTGAAAAATGCTGCCAAACAGACAAACAGAGAACTTGTACAGAGCAAAAGGAAAAACAAACAACAACAAAAAAAACAGCCCTGTCCTCATGGCAGTTGCAGAGTATATAAAAATCTGTTCCTGGAATTGAGCTTCAAAAATGCAGCAGAACAAGTGTGAGATTTAAATGTCCTCTCACCTAGAGCTGATCACCTCGCATTCAAAAACATGAGCTTTCCTTGCAGGAGCAGTTCTGTCTTAGTTGTGAGCTTTTCTTGAGAGCCGAGTCGCATCCAACCACCCTTTAAATCACCTCAAAAGTGTAGCAGTGTTGTGATGGGTAACTCATATTGAAGGAATAAAAAAGGTCCAAACAGCATGGCTACTGCAAAGGTCACGTTATCCAGATCTTGAAGAACTACTATACCCTCGATGATGATGCCAACATCAGAAAAGTCATTGCCTGGCGCATCTCTGGAGACAGATGTTCATTGTGGTTTTCTCAATCTGTGCAGTGGCCTCAGTCAAGTCCTGGTTAAACACAAAACATTTTTTTAAGATTCCTTTTTAAACTCATCTCTTTTGAATCTACAAGTTCTAATGTTAGAGTAATTTAAACCATTGCAAGCAACATAGTAAATAGCTATAGCCAAAGAGTGGCCTGCCATGCTGCCACTCATGGTCTAACAGAGTTTCTAAGAGGGTGAAAAACATAATAATTTCAAATGCTTTACATTAGTTTTTGTTAGAAAGACACCGGCCCATCAGAAATCCAGGTTATGTCACTCAGAAGATGTTAGAATTTAGACTTTCAGCCCCACAATTTGGTTAGCTGTTGGTCAGTTGGTCATTTTTTTTTTCCAAACAAAAGCTAATGTAAATATCGGTGGGATTTTCCTTTGTTCACTAGAATGAACTAGTGAACAAAGTGGGGGTGGGGCCTCAAGGGCCTGCGGCCGAGTTCACTACCAGGCCTCATGTGAACTTCAAGACATGTTGACGAGGTAATTTAGCCATTTAAATCAGCTGTGTTCGATTCAGGATACAGCTAAAACATGCAGGACACCGGCCCCTGAGGCCTGGAGTTCCCCACAATATGTTTTTCACTTTGTGGCAGAGTCGTCAAAATGGATGGTTTTACCACTTTCATAATAGGGGGTTATGGAGAAAAAGTGGAGTGTTTGGACCCTTGTGTGACAAAATTAACCTTGTGTTTTAATTTCAGTACTGGAATCACGTAGCCAAATTATTAAAGAGGACTACTGGTCCTAACCAGTCCAATGAGGATCAAGTGGATAACTAAATGCATTTTTAAATGTTGCAAAGCCACAATCTACTCATAAAACACTCACCATGAACTCCTGCACCAAGATGTTGCAATTGTCTTTCACACTTTTGATGAGGGACTCCCTTCGAGCATTAATGTCATCCTTAAGTATTATAACAAAGAAAACAGAGATTTGTGAACTCAAAATTTTCAGTAGCACAGAAGAAAATGAT